TTAAATAACTTGTCTGAGAAACTCCCAGCAGTCTGACAAATCTTTAATATCCCCTGATAAATTTAGAATTTGCTGAAAGGGGAAAGGTTGAGTGTATGCATGAGAGTGGACAGGACATAGAGACAGAGGGGATCTGTGCTAGGAAATGTGTGTCCTAGAAGGGAATGAAGGGGAGGGAGTAAAGCATGAGCAAAGATGAATCCTGTAGTAGCAGAAAGGGCAACATGGAAAGATGCCCTGGAGTATCATACTTTGTCCAATCTTTTTCCATTTCATTAAAATTTGCTTTTTCCTGATTTTTTTAATCAGCATTTCAAACTATGCAGAACTGCTGTCCTGGCTGGTGTGGCTCAGTTGATTGGAGTGTTGTCCCATACATTGCAAGGCTGCAGGTTCGATTTCCGGTCAGGGCACACACAGCTACGTTGCAGGTTCAGTCCCTGGTTGGGGCATGTACAGGAGGCAACCAAATGATGTTTCTCTCTGGCATTGATGTTTCTCTCTCTCCCTTCCTTTTATCTTTCTCCCTCCCTAAAAAGCAATGAAAAACTGTCCTCAGGTAAGGACAAAAAATAATTTAAACTGTGCACAATGGTTGAGTTGCTATATATACTCTATAACAGCTGTGTAGGCCTATCCCAGCTTATGTTAAATTTGTGGATATGGCCTACCCTCAGCATTGTTAAGTGAACTTTTTCTTGATTTTCCCATTCCAGTGGTCCTTCTTAAAAAAATGAGGCTTTAGTTCATTTCCAGACCAGTATACATGGCTATCTCCCTTTGTTCTGCTTAGGAATAGTTATTATGTGGTTGGCAGGGAAAACAGAAAGATGCTTTGGTCTGATCCCTTCTCCTCCCTGATCATATTAGCTGCCTCCAGAGTTAGATAGATATAAATGCTGAGGCTCAGAAAGCAGAGCCATTGACAAATATGTTGGTGAAGGAATCTATAGTATTTTACTCCCTTTCATACAGATGGGGCTGATTCCTATTCCCCAAGCTTGGATATCTATTTGGAGTAAAAGACAGGAAGAGAGGCTGCCCACTTTATGGTTTCAATTTTTGTGTTGGTGTAATTTAAATATATAGACTTAATCTGCTTATGCTGGAATTTCTCCACTTGCCCATCTAAATCTACCTTCCACCTGTACTACATGAGACTTCACGGGCTACTTATGCAGGTTCCTCTAACTCTCTGGATTACAGCTGGGTCTGGCCAACGGGAAGAACAAGCAGAAGAGTAGCAAGGAGGAGGAGAGATGCTCCAGCTAGGCGGTCCCTTCATTCCCTCCCTGCAGTTTGGCAGCAACTCTGCTTCCCCACTTCAGGCCGTAGCTCCTGATGGGTGGAACCTCCTTCAGCTCCCACTGATTTCCTGCGACTGCCCCTCCCTTGCCCCTTCGGGCCTACAAGTGATAACGGCTTGTGAGGGATCCTTCACCATCCCTTGTTGATGCCCTAGACCTCACTGCTCTGTAAGCATTCCTTTTATTCAACAGCCCTCAGTTACCCTTTTGAGGTAACATCTCTTTCTGCTGGAATCCTCACTGATATATTTGACTCTTGGAAGAATTTAAAAAATGAAACACATGAATCACAGAATTAAATCACCCAAACTGACCTTTAATAGTACCTACATTTTACAGTAAATAAAAAAATATAATTCAAGAAAATTCACTTACAATAAAAAAGTCACACAATCTACCAGAAAAAAGAGAGTAACTTTCTGAAATAAAAATTAATGCCCAATACATGGCCTTGGTCCCATGTATAAATTAGATTAGAGCTTTTGGGAACTGCCAGAATAGTATTTATTCCTATAGTGTATTTCATTTCAGTGATCAAAACACTTTGTAAATTTTTTAAAAAGCAATTATAACATTGTTAGTGATTGGAAGTATGTTATAAATGTGCACTCAGAGAGGAAATCCAATGGAGCTAAGTATTTGATGATGAAGACAGAAGATAGTCATCAAATTTCAAGCTGCAACACCACCTGTATAAAATAGGCATTGTAAGTCCATGTATATAAATCAGTCATTTGCAGACAAGACTGCTTTTTTATCTGTGAATGGCTCAAGTAGGGATTCTTCTCAAACTCAGAAAACCATTAGATTGGCTTAAACTACTATACTTGGCTAAGTGAAATAAATAAACTTCTGCTTAAGTGGAAGCTAGTTGTCTTAGTCTGACTTCCTAAGCCATCAAATTCTAAACCTAAATACGTTGTTTTTTTCTTGGTTCAAATCAGAAATGATGTTACATTAGCATTAGGACAATCCTTCTTCCAACGTGCACTCACAGGAGCAGGCAGGGGTGACAAAAGTTTCACTGAATGACACGGAGAATGTGACGATGCGGATGGAATTTGCCCTCTCGCTGCTCAGGGCTTGCAGCCTCTGCCAGCTTAGTGATCTGGCGTTGGTGCTGTTTCTAGAGCTCTGGCCTGGCTCTCGGTTGTCATGGGTTCAAACCACTTTGAGATTCAGGTCTTCTGGAGAGGCTTTCTATAGCTTCTAAGCAAACTCAGGTCCCTATAGGATCTTTGGAGATTCCAGGCCACAATTCAGTACCAGAATTTCCCAGTTCTTTCTTGGGAGAGATGATCTGGGCCCACAGTAAACCATCCAGGAATAATTTGGCTCAGAACAGACTGCTTTTGCCCATTTCTGGACACCTAAAGTTAGGGCTGGCATTTTGAAGTGAATATCCATGATAGTTTCTTTCTACCTTTTCATTCCACTGACTGTTGAGGGCAAAGAATAAAATCTAGGTCTTCTTTCATCATAGTTCATTTCTTTAATATATGAGTCTAAGTTCTGTGTTTTCTTCTTTAACTTGAAAATGACCCTGTGAACTTAGACAAGTATGTGATGAGATGGAATTAAAGAAAATATTCACATATACAATCCTAATAATTTTTTGTTACCTTCGAAATACCATTCATAGTGGGTGATTGACTATTACATGGGATTTTACCTTCAATTCTGTCTATGTCTATATCAGTGCAAACAAAATAGTCATTTTACACAGTGCAAGAAACAGGAGTAAACTAAGAAACAAAGCTCTAGAGATCTACCAGTTCTTGAATAAATGGCTTAAACTTTTATACTTTGTTCCCACTAGTGATGTTATGTCCAAGTTTGCTATTTTGAGTTTTCAGGTATTATTCCAGATTTTTGGGGGGTGGTGAGGTGGGGTGGAGGATTGTAGATAACATTTTCACTTGGAGGGAAAAAGTCATTTGATAAAAGAAATCGATCTTCCACATTCTAAGTAACCTCCGAATTTTTGTTTAGAAATCACCCATGAGCTTAATGAGTTCCATTTAGAACAATTTCTTAACTTTAAATGGGGAAGATTTATTTACATGTCCAGATTATAGTTAAGTTAAATTTTGCCTGGTTGGTTTAAATTGGTGGAAAAGCAAATCATTTATTTATTCTTTTTAAAATAAAAGCTGATTTGACATAGATTGTGTCAAAACACACTGATGCCTAGAATGGTTTGGAAAAACTCTAAGTGATCATCTAGCTTGATAACTACTTATAAGAAATGGTTTTACGTAAGCAACTCAATGAGACTGGAAAAAATTAACTTTTTTTTTAATAACAGCTATCTTGTAATAACACTCACTAAAAAGAAGAAAAAGTTGGTTTTACTATTTTGAAGATCATGTTGTAAGAATAAGAATCCTCTAGTACCAAGTATTTTAAACCCTAATTTACTATGCAACCATACTTTAAAAACTTGCCAAGTTAATTTTTTTCTACTTTTATCTTATTGAAAAAATATTCTATCTACACTAACTATAAAATGTTATTTGGGGGATTCATCATATATTATTCCACTTTCAAATTTTTGTTTTATAGTTTATTTTTATAACATTTCTGATGAGTTTATACAGTAACTAAGATTAAACAGTGCAAATTCACTGAAATATTTTGATGCTGAGTTTACACCATGCCAAACATTTAGATTTAGAAATATATAAGATATGTTTCATTGTTATATGATTTTCCATATAGTATTAGACAACCCGTGTTTCCTAGATAAAAATATAGGTAGATAATTTTACTACAACACAATCCTCTTATAAAGTACATGTTAGTTATAGCTTCAATATCAGCATTAAGAGAGTTCCAGTGTATCTGAAGAATTGCCCAGATTTTTCAATTCTTAGCCCTAATACGTGGCTTCAGACATAGCCACATATACCCTCCACTGGAAATAGAATGAAGAGTACTAATCAGAATTAACTCTCTTAACAGCCTATCATTTCTTGTTGAGAGGAAAATTCTTCAAAGTTTTCTTGATTAGTATTAGCACAATAGGCATTATGAAATAAATAATCTGACACTGAGACACAGCTTCCGGAGGACTAGTGAAAAAGCTGAGCTTACTCTTCTATGAGTAATACCGTAGTGATGAGACAGCACTCCCACATACACAAACATTACAGTACGCAGTGCCTACAGTTTTCAAACTTACTTTCCAAAAAAAGGGTCTATTAAGCAATCACAAAACATGACTTGGTTGCTTCAACATTTCGACTTCCTGACGAATACATATGAAGTTTTATCAGGTCTGGCTGTACACTGTATGTTTATAACAGCAGTAACGCAAAAGATTAAAATAGAAAACACACAGTAACTATTTCAGGTTTTAAACAAATTACAAAACCACATGCTTTCTCACTCAACAGGAAAACCTAAATCAAAAGGCAGCCAGATCTTTAATGCAGTTGGTTGTTCCTCTAAAGGCCGTGTAACATGCTCAAAGGGTAGCTGCTCCTTCTGACACCTTCCAGGAAGTGCCTTGTCAGCACATCTGTAGTCTAAACCGCTGCTAAATTGTTGGTTTACTTACTCTGTTTTATTAGGGTAGCTTCATTTTGTTTATAAACTAACCTTTTTCATTTCTCCGAGGAACCCTTTCAAAACAATCTTCCAGATGCTGGCTAACTAAGCACTTCTTAGCTATTGTCCACAAAGGTCAGTCTATTTACTGGCATTTGACCGTGTAGAACAGGAAGTTTCTGTTGCATCTTGTGCTCTTAATGAAACCCGACAACAGAGGACTGAACGCATTAGTCTCAGAACAGAAGGCCTCAGGATGGCAAAGACCCAAGGGTCGATTATTGAATTAATTGATAAAAATCTAAGTGCTCGAAGGTCCCATTTTTCTCTTCGGGAAGAGGTTTCATTCATATATGCAAAAATCTGTAAGAAGCAAAAGGGAGAAATGATGTTAGTTTTACATTGTAGCAGTGGACAGGCTTAGACCATATACAATTTTTCAAAATTTAAAAATACGTTTTGTTTGTAGTGGTGATAAAAGGTGAATAGCAAGATCTCACACTTCTTCCACATGTTTATTCCTTACAAAAACTCTGAAACATAAGTATTATCATCTCCTTTTGGCAGGTGAAAAAGTGAACTTCAGGGAAGTTAGTAACAACACGCTATGTTTACTTCCAATACTTAATCTGACTTAATTATCACAATTCCGTGTGAGAAGTGAGAGGGTACACAAGACAGCACGGGTCCTCCATTGGACTGCCTGGGTTTGAACTGGGCCCCATATATAGCTTTGGGACCTTAAGTAAAAAACTAACCTGTTAGTGCTTCAGTTACATCTGTAAAATAGGTGATAACAACAATACCCCCTTCTTATTTGGGAGGATGAAAGGAAGTAATATGTATAAACTACTTGAAACAGTGCTCACCTAGTAAGTGCCCCGCAATGTTAGTTATTATCTCCATTTTACCAATGAGGACACTCGAGTGCAGAGAAGTTAGGTGACTTGAGCAAGTTTCCAGGGCTGTTTGGTGGTGCAGTCAAGACAAGTGGTGGCAGGAAAATGGAGACAAATATATTTGAACAATAAAAAAATTTTTAAAATTAAAAAAAAAATTAAAAGAAAGAAAAGAAAAAGACACAAATCCCACCTCCCTTGACACCAGTGCTTTGTTCAGCAGGCGCTCCATCCAGGTCACCTACATTAGAGCAAAGGTCTTCAGAACAATGTCCTGCACACTGGAAAGCTGACACATCTTTACATGTTGACCAGTGTTTTCCAACTGGTATACCAGCTCTCATCAGATTCCTTAGGTATTTAGAGAGCAACACAACTTTTTGGTCAGATTTAAAGGAATGGAACTGAACGTGCTTGATAAAGATTAAACGTTGTCACCCAGTTTACAGAAAAGAAGAAAACAGATGTAAACCACATCCAGTCATTTAAAACTATTCTTTATAATGGTCCAGGGACTTTCTTAACAACGGTAGCCCTTGAGTTAGAAAGCTAATCTTTCTCTCCTCCACTCCTCTGCACCAGAAGTAGGAATGTTTTATTTCCTTCTCTCCTGCTTACTCTGTAGGCATCTGACAGAAGGATATACAAAGCAAATTGCAGGGAGGCAGAAGAGCAGTCATCTTCAAGTTGCTTATGTTAGGACAATAGCAGGGAGGTTTGGCAGCCACAGGTGTTTATGCCAGAGAATCTTGGCATGGGGAATGGAGAAAAGACTTGGCAGATGAGTAAGGAAAAAGAAGAATGGATGGTGGATTTCTCTGATTATAGAGAGAACAGAAAGTTAGGTAGGCAATAATTTTCTTGGCAGCTAAACTATTTTGGATGAGAAATATACAGGACTTATATGGTGTCGTTAAAGGAGAGATTATGGAGTTCAGAAATTCAGGATACCATTGTATATAAGTCTGGTTGATTAAAATACATTAGTCACCACACACACACACACACACACACACACACACACACACACACAACTGAGCACTCTGGAGCAGAAAAGTCTGAATTTATAATCTAGTTTACTCAAAACATAGGCTATGGAGCAATTTTGGAGTTTAGAAATTTGGGATAACAGTGTATATATGTCTGGTAGATTAAAATACATTAGTTACCATACACACACAAAAAAACACACACACAACTGAACACTCAGTAGCAGAAAAGCCTGAGTTGATAATCTAGTTTCACCAAAGACTAGGATAATACTGAACTGGCAAGCCAAGCAGGCAGTGTAGAGAGGGCCCAGGGTTCTAGCATCACAGCTTCACATGGAAGTGAGTCAGGTTTTCAGTTCCTGATCTTCTTGGAGTGTGATAGAGCAATGAGAAGTGAAAAATGGTTTTAGAGGGTGAAGCAATTCTGTACTATTTGTTTCCTTTCCATTTCATCCACCATGATGGGTGATTTTTGAAAATGCTTAAAATCTGCATTTTAAGAGCTGGCCAATATTTTGCAGAAAGCAATTTCTTCTTTTATACTTGAAAAAGAGACCTACTGCAGTGACCCTTGAAGTTCTTGATGTAAGTTTTATCTTCTCCTTCTTCTCCTATCTCCTCATTTTTTAAAAATTCAGTTCTTTTGCCTACATTTCACCATTTTGATCTAGTGGACCCTGTTTTTTAAAAATTATTATAAAATATACATAACAAAATTTAGCGTTTTAACCATTTCAACCATTTAACCAATGATACAATTCAGTGCCATTAAATGCATTAACATTGTTGTACACTGTATTGTTTATATATTTTTTATTTTCTATACATTATGATGTTTTGCCATCCTAAAGACCTTCCTGGCTGGATAGAGACTGCCCCATGATACCTGTGTTACAACCCAGATTTAATTAATCAGAGTCTCTGAGTGAGGGAGCTGGGTATAGCCAACCCTTGGAGATAGCCAGGGGCTCGCCAGGGAGCAATCCTTTGATATGCAAACTAAGGAATCCAGAGCCCGTCCATCTGGCCCTGTACTCCTTGGTGGCAACATTCCTCTGCCTTAATCTTTCCAGGGCCAGGTACCCGGCAACTAGGGAACAGCCCTACAACTTAGAGCCCGCTGAAATGATTCTAATAGCCAGTCCTACACTAGCTATCCTGCCCTGCTTTGCTTTTCCCTTGGAAACCCCAATAAGGGCTGTGGCCTAGGCTCTCCCCAGCAACTGCTGCCGCCTCCTGACCTGCATTAGTACTTTCCCATGTGGCCTTTGGTGTTGGGCAGTCCTTCCTGTTTCTAGGACTTGTGAGTATGATGAACTTTGCTTTCTTGAGCCTCTCTTGTGGTCACACCTGACTGACCATCACATAAAAGAACAGCACAGCAACCATCGCCACCATCCACTTCCAGAACTCTGCATCGTCCCAAACTGAAACTCTACCCATGAAACAATAACTCTCCATTCTCCTCTCCCGCCAGCCAATCCTGGTTTTTCATTAAAGGCTAACACATGGCATATAAGTCAGTTAATTAATGTTTCAATGGTACTCTGCTTCAGAGGCTGGTAAAATTTATACATATTTTTGTACACACTACTAATACATTTGCTATAAGAAAAATACCAAGTGCTCCCATGGAATCTTGCAGCCTCCTGTGAAAACCTCATCTTGGCACTGAGTGGATACTGTTTGTTTGAGATTCTTTCCTACCATCAGTACAACCACATAGTGTGTTCAGAATTTTAGAGCAAATGAGAACTTTGTCTAGCAGCTAGTTGAAATTAACCAAGGATGATTAAAAATATCCTGATGCTTGCTCCCTCACTCAGAGACTCTGATTAATTAAATCTGGGTTGTAACATGGGTATCATGGTTTCTACTTGCACCTGCCCTTGCACCCCATGGGATTCTAATGTGTAGCCTTAGATCCTTACCTAACACCTGAAATAAAAACAAAAGACCCACTTTGACCTGGCCTATCAAACAAATGACTTTAAGCTTTCAGAATCCCTGATCATTAACATACAATCTGATTTTTGCTTGGAAATTGAATCTTATAGAGATAAGTACTAATAGTTACTGAATACCTACGTGTGCCAGACATTGTGCTAAGCAATTTATAAGTCTTATTCTAAGTAATCTTTACTTGAACCTGCAAAATATTATTCCCATTTTAGTAAGAAGGAAACTAAAACTTACAGGGGTGTCCAAACTTTTGGTGTCTTGCAACACTGGACGAAGAAGAGTTGTCTTAGGCCACACACGAAATACATTGCAACACAAAATCACAAAAATATCTCACAACATTTTAAGCAAATTTACGATTTTGTGTTGGGATTTTGTGCATTCATGGTCATCCTGGGCTGCATGCAGCCTGTGGGCCACAGGTTGAACACTCTTGGAGAAGATTAGTAATCTTGTCCCAATCACGCCTCAGATAAGTAGGGAAGCAATGGAGTCACGCTTAAGCAGAGGGACCCACATTTTCCTTTCAGTCACTACACTATTGCAAGCCTGTCGTGTAAAGTCTCATAAAGTTTACCACTGACTGTATTTGTAGGAGATAGCTTTTCAAAGATGTCAGCAAGGTTATGGGAATCACTGTTCCCATTAAGAACCATGGCTGTATCTAAGTAGCTATTTGGCTTTCTTGATCCTTTTATTTCCCCTCCTTTCCGCAGCTAAATTGCAGGCAAAGATTGTTATATGTTTATCTACCTTGTGAAAGACATTAGTAAGTGTCCTGGCTATAGGCTTTGCGTAATTCATTCTTTAAAAAAATTTCATGGGAAGATTATTTTCCAGGTACTTGATATTTTAAAGAAACTTCTTCCCCCAAATCATAGGTGCTTTGTGGTAGAGGGAACAGGGGCCCATTTCCCTTCTGAAGGAAAGACTGGGGCATAGATGTGGCTCCAGTACTAAAGCGTGTCCCCTGCCTTGTGCTCCAGGTGATCCTAAAGCCAGACACAAAAGAGAGTTAATGCTAAGGTTTAGAGCTCTGGGCCTGTGTATTCTAGGGTGGTGGTTCTAACACCCTCTGAGAAAATGTTGGAAACTGAACTCTCTACCCAGAACTCAGATAAACACAAGATTTTGCAAACAATTTCAAAGTGACCCACGAGCTGTCCATGGAGTGCAGGAAGTGTCAGCCTTCCCCAAATGCACTCTCCCTATCCTTGGCCCATCCCGTCACTCATATGTCCCAACTGCAGAAGTCTTAAGTCTAGTTTATTGTTAGAGGGCAGCAATTTAAGGCAGCAAAATAGTTTGGGGAAAATGAAGCTTGGTAGACCTTAATATAACTTGGGGCACAAGGAAGGCGTGGTCAAGATAAGAATGGGAAGTGGTGATCAGAAACTTCAAAACAGAGGACAGGAGAAACCATGGAAACTAAAACAGATCAGGTTGCAGATTAACTAAGTCTTAAGCTTTAAGTGGAAGGAAACTTGTTGATTGCCTTCCTGAAATACTG